TATACAGCTAGTCAGATCCTCTGGTAGCATAGTGCCTAAGGCACTTGACTGCTAACCAGGAGGCTGGCAGTTCAAACCCACCAGCCACTCCTCACAAGGCAGATGGGGCAATCTATTTCTGTAGTGATACTGCCTCGGAAACCCAAGGAGGGTCGCTATGAGTGGGGTCCGACTTGGCAGCACATAACAACAACAACAACGGTCAGATCCTCCAGGTATTTAGACTACCCTTGTGAAGTTTACTTATACTTTAGTAAGCTTTATTTAGTAAGTAAAGTTTATTGTATACTTTAGTAAGCTTTGTTAACTCTTTAAGAATTCAAGGATACGTTTTATAAGTGATTGCTTCCTTGTACTAAATTATAACTGAATTATTCTAATTATACCCTGAAGAAAATATGACCTCCTATATAAGTCAACAACATATAAGTCTCTTCAGTTTTAAGGGTGAAGAGAAAATACTGTGGCAGAGAAAGGGTTCATTTAATAGATTCCATATCAAGTTCAATGTGATTTTATTTTATTGGCCTCTGATGGCATATATATCAACCAATAAAACATATTTATTGTTGTTCTCTGATGATTCAATACAGACATTTTCAAAGAAATACAGTCACTTACCAAGAAACAGAAAAATGCTGCTTACAGAAAAGGAAACGATTTGTTGAGTGGTGAGAATGGAAAAGATGACTTCATAATTTTCAACTTTATCTCTGAGAAATGGCAGTCCAATATTGTAAGCAATTTTTCCCCCCATACCAGGACATTCATATTTCTGGCATAGGACATGAAAAAAGGGGATCCAATATATGCAATAATGAATTCCTTTGGAAATCAAGAGCTGACATTTATCCCTCAGCAGTCTGCTTGTGCATAATTAATACTTTCTATGTAAATTTCCTTCAAAGAGGTCCTACTATATACTTCACATAATGTGTATCTCAAATACCCCCTTCTCTAAACAATCCACTGGATTTGATTCATTTTTTCCCCAATTTCCTAGGTTCTAAAATGTTTAAATGAGCCCCTTGATACAGAATCATCTGAAGTTTACTTTGTAACAACTTCAAAACAGAGGACAAAGCTTAGACAAAATCAAAAAAGACAGTTTTGCTTACAGAATCCACTTCCAACCTCAGCTTTAACATGCTATGCCAACTGTGTATGGCTTGAGAGGCACAGTTGTCAGTAATAAGTCTTAGCAGTCCTCGTATCGTTCTACAATTCTACCCTTGTTCTCACTGGTGAGCCATTCCACCAATGGATATACCTCTCCATCATCATAAACTCTCTCTTCATATATGTCTAATAAAATATTATTTCCAAAGATCCAATCAAGAGTTCACACTTAATTAGAATTTCAGGAGTGAATTTCAGTCAAAAACAATAAAAAAATATGTGTGTTCTCTATTCACAAAAGTTAGAACTTATCTTATTGTTGAGCTTATTTTTTGTCCTTTTTCTTTCATTATTTCTGTTTATGGATTAAGCAAAGAAGACATCACTTGGCTTTTCTTTGATATAATAAGATACATATTTATTAGTATGAAGAAAGTTCAAAAAGAAAAATAACAAATAATACAGAATTGGGCATTTTTTTTCACCCTAAACTCCTACTTGTAGCAGGTATGTCCCTTATTGGGAATAATTTCCTATATAATAAAATATAAAATATATATCTGTATATGTGTGTGTGTGTGTATATATATATATAATGTTGTATTATATTATGTATAATTGTATCATATATAATAATATTCCTAATTATTTGTAAAGCAATTTGTTCCAAGTAAATGTTCCTTAAACCCTGTGATCAAGGATAATTAATATCTAAATTTTCTTTCTTCATGCTGGACACTCCTGCTGATTTCTTTTTTTTTCTCCCTACTGGTCGGTGCAATCTCACTTTGTTTGCAAGGATGAACTTCAGATCACTCCAGATTATAAGGACTAGATTTATGGTTCCTATTTTAGGGATATGGGTGACATCTGTAGAATGAAAGTTATGTCATTTCTTACCATTTTATTCATGCAACAGGATTGGACCCTTCAGTGTATGCTTATCCACTGCCATCTACTTGATTCTGACTCATAATGACCTTACAAGGTAGAATAGAACTGTATCATAGCACTTCCAAGGCTGTAAACCTTCACAGAAGCAGATACCTCATTTTTCTCCTATGGAGTGGTCATTGGGTTCAAACTGCCAAATGTGGGGTTAGTGACAACATGCTTTAACTACTATGCCACCAGAACTACTTCAGTGTATGCTTATTTGGAGAAGGTACACTAATACCTGTGTACACAAATGCATGTGCTTGGCAGCCTGAGGCAGCTTTCCTAGAGTCCTCTATCACTATTACATAGCTCTTGAGCATATAGAGAGCATACTTTTTGCACTTTAGAACAACTCCCAAGGTAGCTGGATTTATAAACATTGGCTCTCTGGGTATTTTAAGAGCAACCAATCAGTATTACTTAACATGGTAAAGTGTTCAAAACACTGAGTTTGCCAAATAGGCCTGTTTTTGTCATTTTTTTGGATTGTTAGTAGATGACCAGGCTATATAAGAAGAAAATTGAAAATGCCTATAAGCCTTATATAAAAATTACTTTAAAATTGAAATGGAACATAGAACACAGTTATATTTACATACACTTATTGCCACAGTTAACTGTCACTGTCTCTTGAGTTTAGATATACAAGGAAAATAGTTCACATAAATGGCTATTATCACTGTTCTGGTGTCTATTTCCTTAATCTTATATTTACCCTTGCTTTTAAGTTTATTTACCAGTTCATCCACTTCTGGTACTTCATTTTATTTCCTACTAACCACTTTTCTCTGAGATTCCCTAACAGTCACTGTTATAATATTGTAGATCACGTATCCTAACTAAGAATCCATGCCATGAGATCCTCGAATGAACTTCTCCACATACACTCTAAACATATGCACACCTTCGTTTGGAATTTCTGCTTTTTGTTTATCCTCTTTCTCCCCTAGAACATATTGACAAACACAGACTTAAGGCAACAAATTTTCAGGCCCCCAAACTGTAAGTTGCCTGTTGGGAATTGCAGTTAACACCCAGCCACTAAGCGGAAGGAGTTAATGATGACACGAGAGGGGGAAGGAGCACAGGGTAATGAAATTCCAGACACTGACTGGAAATTTGGGGAAAAGGAGAACGAGAAGAGGAGAATAACTAAATTATAAACTTCCCCTCACCACTATCCAACAAATTCACTTACACTTGGACTGTCATCCAAGTGTAAGTGAATGCCCAGTGGTATAAGTTTCCATGGCTGAGAAACTGGTTATTATGTACCCTTCTGGAAGTTTCACAGTCTCTAAGAAATCATCTCTAGTCTCTAAGAAATCTTTCAAATAAATCTGTTCAATCTTGTTCACTTCTATATTTCCCTAATGTATTTCGGAAAACTATCTCAAAACATTAAAAAATTCAGTCAGTTTGAGACCAATATAATATAATATGCTTTTGGTAAAGAAAATATAATAATAATAATAAATCTTTCTGGTATAAATTTGGAAATATATGAAAGTAAAAACTCTCTGGAGTTCCATAATTCACATAAATTTACTATTAATATCTTAATCTGATCCCTTAATTTTTTCTATTGAAAGGAGCTCTGGTAGCATAGTGCCTAAGGTATTTGACTGCTAATAAGAAGGCTGGTGGTTCAAACCCACCAGCCACTCCTCGGAAGGAAGACTGCTCAATCTACTTCCTTAGTGATACCACCTCAGAAACCCAAGGAGGGGTTGCTATGAGTCAGATCCAACTTGACGGCAGTTGAGTTTTTTGTTTTGTTTTGTTTTATGTTGTTGTTGTTGTTGTTATGTGCCGTCGAGTCGGCCCCGACTCATAGCGACCCCTCCTTGGGTTTCCAAGGCAGTATCACTACGGAAGTAGGATTGCCCAACCTTCCTTCCGAGGAGTGGCTGGTGGGTTTGAACCGCCAGCCGTCTGGTTAGCTGGCAAGTGTCTTAGCCACTATGCTACCAGAGCTCCCTTTGTTTTATATATTTAATAATTATCTTTAAGCCACATCATCACTCAGATGAGTACAGTTTGAATGAGCAGGAACTGGCTCATCTTATCAAAAATACATCTTTCTCTGAAGCTAACCAAAAATTCCCTAAAAGGTATTACATGAACTCATTTTTATGTAAGATACAAGGCTTATAATTCTGAGTGCAAATGCTCAAGATGGAGCATTGCTATAAATAAACCTCAGTCAAATTGTAAATGGTAGCATTACTAAACCCTTGTTTGGCAAAACAAAAATCGTAGTTTGAAATCATTTGGGCCCAAGACTAGGCTTAAATGAAAGATGTGCTCATATGTATGTTCTTTAGCTGAAACAAAAACAATAACAACAAACTAAACCCATTACTGTCTATTTGATCCCAACTCACATTGACCCTACATGACAAAGTAGAACTTCCATATACAGTTTTCCAAGACTATAATCTTTACAGAAGCTAACTGCCACATCTTTCTCCTGTGGAGCTGTTAGTGATTTCAAACTATTGATCACAGCTGAATCCTTTAAC